TTGGGTGTTGTTTTTGTTGTTTTTACAGAAGATTTCTAAGCTTTTGATGCCCTCTTTATATCACAAAACTTGCTATTGTGCACATGACTCAAAACTGCGTTTTATTGTCATTCTGTTGAATTTATTATGCTGCGGCGTTAGTGGCGCGCTTTTTGTCGATATTTTGTTGACCGGAAATGGAGTGGATGGGGAAAGACGCCTATCTCGATGCATGGGGCAAGACGCCCCCAGTTTTCTGAAAGGGGGGCGTTTTGCACGGTGGTGAGAGTGCAGGGTAGCGCCCTGTAGGTCGGGGCCGAAAAGGCCTCTCTCTGTCCTTTTTTGCTGATATATGCTAAACGACTGCAGATATCGTCACCAAACTTTCAGGACTCCTCCGGGCATCCATTTTACACATTGCAACAACATTTTATTCCAAAGGCTATGATAGGTTGACCACAAATGACGTCAGAATGACGTCAAGTTCTGCCATGTTCATCATTTTCTGTTGATGGATGGGGTGGGGGCGCTTTGCACATGGGTGTGGGCGTATTACCCAGGGTGTGGGGCAAAACGCCCTTTTGTAAGGGTATGCGGAAACCTTTTTGGGGGGTTAAATACCACACGCAAGTGTCTTTTCTTGGTCTCAAAGCGTAGTAAAAAGAATGAGCTACATGATGGTGCCCAAAGGTTTGAGTAATCTGGGTTGGGTTGAGTGTCAGAAGGTTTCGCGCTTAACCCTATTAGTGGCAGGCTCCTGGTATACCCCTATTAGTGGCAGGGGGGGGGGGGGCTGTTTACGACCCCCCCTTGATATCTCGAGATCTAACGGGCCGATTTTCAAAATTCAAACGGCATTCGATTTCGCTCAACGTGATCTACATTTCTAAAAAATAAAAATTAAAATATGTCAACAGGGGGGGGTAGAGGGGGGTAAAAACGGGCAAATTGCAGATACATTTTAGACTGTTTATCACGGCTAGGTTTCTGAACCAATCCTAACGCAACTTTTGCCGATCGATAGAGAATGAACCAGGAATTCACATGGATCCTAAAAATATGCATTTTCAAAAATCATAGGCGGATACAGATCATTGAGATTGGGGGTACACAAAAAGTATAGTAAATAAGGTTTTTGTTGGTACTGTTTCTAAAAAGGGTGGTAATGGTCTTGTTATGTTACAATTTTCTTATGAGAGAACGACTACAATTGTATTGGTCATGCATAGGCGGTGTCAGGGCACCTATGTTGGGAGGTAAAACATAACCCCCCTTTTTGGACGCCTGGATCCGCCTATTATAGCAAAAACGTGTCAAAAGAGGATGCACAATAACTGTATATGTTATCACATGTATACCTTTCATTCACTGTTCGTAAAACTGGTGCAGCATCGTGATCTTCGCCCAAATGACTCGCTTCACGAATAGGACCCCCAATTCCCAGTGCTCTGGAGCCGCCCCTGGTAAAGTTATGAACTTGAAATTTTCAGGGAATAAGCCCAATTTAGTTTTAGGAAAAGTCAGAAAATTTCAGCATCGTAGCTTCAGCGGTTTCGGAGATATTGCCGAAAAACCTGAGGGGTGGATAAAAACAACCCCCCCCTGCCACTAATAGGGTTAATGGGGGCGTTTTTGACCTATTCACCCTAAATGTTATGTCCCGCGAGTGTGACTTTGGCCCCCCCTTTTGCTAGCGGCTGCGACCGCCAGTGCAGGAAGGGTGACCTAAACTGCAGCTGGCTGGCCAGGAAGGCCGTCAGATAGGCGGGCTGGCACCGCCGTCTACCCTAGCCGCAGGCAGGATGGTGCGGTTGACATGGCGTCGGTTAGGAAAGGGGAGGGAGGGGTAACAATCTGAAAAACACGCTACACAAAATGGAGGTGGCTCGATTTGCCCTAGTATGGTCACAAGGGAATAATGACCTATGGGTTCGGGTCCAGGTCATGAAGCTTTAGGAAGCTGGAAAAGGTACTGTTAAGGCAAACTTGACAACTTCCCTGCTGACTAAAAGATAAATTTGACAATATTATTAGTTTTTTTTGCGTGTTTGGGAAACGCTGCGACCAGCACACACTGGGCCGGGGGCCCGGAAAAGTGCTAGAAATTATCTGTGATTGAGTTGTTGATCTCAGTGACAAGCAAACATGCTGAAAACGAAGTGGGGCTGCTTAACCCTCGCCGGACCTATTGTCGGACCCCCCACCCCCTCGCCCGGCCGAGGGGGGGAGGGTCGGTACGACCCCTTTTCGCCGTTTCGCCCGTAATAGAGCTAGAGCCTCGCGGAAAAAACAAGCGTGTGCGCCGTTTCAAGACGGAACGATTGATACCCGAATTTAAGGTCCCAGGTCAATCGGTAACCTCTGAGGTGAAGTCAAAAAGCCCAAGGTAGGGTTTGTTTTTTGTAAATAATTTCGCAAAAAATGGCCGCAGAGCAGCGATTTTGGCACCATCGTGTTTGCCTGGCTCAGGCGCGTCGAATGGTATACTTTTTGTCCGGGTGAGGTCAACTTAAGGTGTTGACCTCGAGTCAAGGTCAGGTCAGAGCCCATCAGGCCACGAACTTAATCGAAGGAAGTCGTATTGCATATCATTCGATTAGGGAGGTCTTTCCGAGTCCATTGGTAGCTTTCCCGAGTCGCTGGCTCAATTTGATCATGAGTTATTGACGAGAAACTCCTATAACCGTAGTGACGTCATAAATGACGTCACGGAAGGTCAAAAATGCAAAAGTAAAGCATCGGATCTTGCAAGGAGTGCATGAAATCACGATTCCATGTGCTTGAGATAGTTTGAGATCATTCCATGCGCATAAACAACAGTTTCCTTATTTTCCCATTTACTTTTAATGGTGAGGTCACGTGACCTCGAAGAGTAGCAGGCATTAGCAAAAATTGCGAGTAGGGCATGACAGAAAGATGATTAGTGGTTTGTATGGCATGGTCATTTTTAGCGGCTCGAAATAACATTTCTCAAAAAGTCTAACTAAAGAGCAAGTTGTTGTTGATTATCACTGACTTGTGTTTGGGGGTTAATAATGACTGAATTGTTGAGTTTGGCCCAAATTTTTTGACAGCATTGTGTGCATTGATCAATTCTGAGCTCAGGGACATATATTTTATTTAGATTATACGCGTTTGTTTTTCACAACTTCCAGCGCTTTAAAGAGCGCCGGGCCTTCAGTAGAGCGGCGAGGTGACAATTGCCCCTACATCATGTGGTTTACTGGCGCATATCTCGAAAAGTAGCAGGGAAAAGCAGCAAAGCACCTGTATGCAACGAAAGATGAGTAATCAGAGGCTAGTATAAAATGTTCATTTTTAGCCGATCGAAATAACATTTTTATAAAAGTCTAATTAAAAAATAAGATATGATTTTTAATTACGTCTTGCAGCTGCTTGCAAAAAGCTAGCTTATCTTGCAGAAAAGCGATGCAATATGTGAGAATGATGTTGGCACAGTGAACAACAGTGCCCTGAGCTAGTCTGACAGGAAATTTCGTTCAAAACGACGATTGGTCAGCTAATAAATTACCACTAAAGATCATCATGAAAATCGGTAAATGTGGTGGCCACTAGAGAGTCTAAATTGTCTTGTGTTTGGTGACAACTGACGACCTCAATTTTGACCTTAGGGAAAAACTGGCATCGGAATCGTATTCTTCGATCAATTTGGGATTAAATGATACCTATTTTGTTCATATTGCGGACAGTCAGTTTGGGGGAATTTCTAGCACTTTTTCGGGCTGCCGGCCTACAGTGCAGCAGCGCCGCAATACTATACGGAGCGTGCGACATAACGGACGTAACATCTCAAAATTGGACCTTTGTTGACCTTCAGTGACCTAAGGGTCACCAGTGACGTCATCCCCCGGCGGCCAGCTGGCCGTGGCTGCAGCGGTCATCTCCTCCCTGCATGACCATCAGGGGCGCGGGAACTACTTTCAGACTGGGGGGCACACCATAATAAAGATCAACATAGGGTGCCCCCAAATTTAGTTTTCCCACCGGTTTTAAGCCACTTATTTTTCATCCCTTGGCCTTTTCAACAAAAAAAAGAAAACATGTGCAAAAAAGTGCGGTATTCCGGTAATCATACAGAAGACACCGTTTTTAAGAAAAAAGAAATTAAATATCAGCGAGAAACTTCGCCAAGGTTAAAGGGACTATCCCACCTTTAATATGGGGTTTGAGTTGAGATAGCCAAGTTTGCGTGAGGTTCAGAAACCACTATCTATCTAGGTTGCAACCCCTGCGGCCTCTTGGTGTTGAAGAAATTCGTTCCCTTCATTTGAAAATGGGCCTTGCGCAAGGCCCTATCTTCAACATGGAGCGACCGTTAGTGTGACGCCAACTCGTTTAGTCATTCTGATTTAAATGGGTTTGTTCGTTGAAAAATCGCTTAAAACTTGGTCTGAACTTTGTTGTGGTGCCTACAGAGTAAAAAGAATCAGCTTTATGACAGTAATGTGGCCTGGGGAAGGAGGTAATTTTGGGCTGTGACGTCACATATTTGAAAGTTTGTGTTTGGAATATGGGAAGCCTAAGATGTTTAATGAAAAATAAATGCCAGAACCGTGTTCCTGGTCATCCAATCTATAAAGTCGGGCACAATTTAACTGGTTTTAACAACATTTTAGAAGGTGGGATAGTTCCTTTAATGTAGTCCGCTCATTGGTATCAAGCACGGTTTGCTTCATTTGAGTTATTCACCATTTTTCATGATGCACACCCTAATTTAGGACTTGCAGACTGGAGATGTTCCCGGCAACAATCGGTGACGTCACGCACCATTGCCGCCTGACACGAGGTGCGGCTGCAGCCACGCGCTGCCGAGAACCCACACAGAGCCCGGTCTGCGGCGCCTGTGTTACAGCGCTGTACGGGAATGGGACGGACTGCCGTTGGACGTTTGACGGCACCTGCTCAAAATACATCTCATTGCAGATCAATCAGTGTAACAATTGTATAAAGAGTCAAATCGCGTCATTACTGCCGCGTCCCGTAAGGGGGGCCGAAACGGACCCGCTACCTTCCTAAGCATTGTAGATATCGTCACCAAACTTCAAGGACCCGTTCGGGAATCGGACATTATTTTCAAACATTGTGGCCAATTTGTTCATGCAGATTTCCAGTTTGTTTGCCACAGTATATATACTGTACGGTCTACATGCATTCCAATTTCCAAGTTTAATTTTGATGCCTAGGCTCGTTGAAAGATTGCTCTAATTCCTATTAATGTATACGTTATTAAATCCTGCTTGAGCCGAATTTCCCAATGCAGGGTCAACACAGCAGCATGCTAATTTATATACCGCACTACATCTATCTACCATAGTGCTACTCCTGATTTCGCTGCCCTGCAGCGCGCCAGTCGCTGCCACTGGACGGACACGGCCACAGAGCGTTCCGTCTTATCTGTGTTCCTGTCGGGGATGGTATATATCTACAGCGGCGTCGGCCGACCTCAGTCAGTCCGGGAGAGTCGGAGCAGCCAGCAGCCATGTCACGACCACAGACATATTGTGTGAGAAGAGCCGAGTGGATAAGGAATATGTATAGAGGTATTAACTGGGAAGTGAGAACTATTGTGGAGAAGTACGGATCATGTGCACATTTGATACCGGACACTCTGCTACTGGCACTGGACCTTGTGGGCAACCACTCTGCTGGGTATCAGGCCTACTGTACCATGTCTGAGGTAACCCGCGCTGTCGACAGGCTGGTAGAAGAACCGCTCATGTCAGCCCTGGTGGATCTCAATGACGCCGCCGCCGCCCGGTGTCGACACTGCCAGCCCGACCAGCCCCTCAGGATAGCCTCCATCAATGGATCGGGCAGCAGTGTCGAGGGTCTGGATGACGGGAGAGTCGGCCAAGGGGCGACGTCGGATTTTGATCTGATGTTCGAGTTTGACGGTCCCTTCCGCTGGGCGGCGCCCGGAAAGAGAGAGGAGCCGGCCGTTGTTACTCCACAGTCTGCACCACAGCTGTGGGCCCGACCGACCAAAAACCCAGGTTTCGTGACGCTGCACTGGGTCAAGACGACAAAGTGCTGCCACGAGAAGGCACTGGAGGCACTGCCGGCACACACCATGCGCAATCTCATGCTGGACTTTTCTCGGGTTATTAGAGGGGGGGCCAAATCAGCACCGCCGGACCGGCGGTCAATGTCAGGTCATCATATGATGTTACAGACGGCGGTATTGACTTCGTGCCCTGTATCCTTGCGCGTGGGTGGTGGCCGGCAGAAGACCAGCTCGACGGCTGTCACCTGGTGCACGACTTTCCACCAACGGCGGCACGGGATGAAATCCGTAATTTCGGAGTTCACCTCGTGCCGACCGGCCGGCCTGGCAGTGACACCGAGGTTATCGAGCTTCGGATTTCCTACTCACGGGCGGAGCTGGTCGCCGTTCGCCACCTCGCTTCAGTCATACGGGCGGCTATCAAGGCTGTAAAAGAGATGAAAGGCATTCTGAAAAAGAACGAGGTGATGGGCGATGAGGTGAAATTAAAGTCTTATTTTATAAAGACAGCTGGGCTCTGGTTGGCCCAAACTACGCCCCCTCGAATGTGGAAAGGCATCGCTGATTGTGTCTACAAAATACTTGATTGGCTAGAGGAAAACCTTACCAATGGGAGACTACCTTGCTTTTTCGATCACAACATTGATGTGGCGGCTGAACTCAGCACAAAAGAGCGACGGGATATCATCGACACCATACGTCTGATAAGGGAGCATGCCACGCTCCTTCTGATGGCAGTCTGTGTGGATCAGTGGTGGAACGTGGATCTGCTGCTGGAGGGCGGGACGGAGCCGCTCTCAGAGCGTGAGTTGCGGCTCCGTCTGGGACGGACGCTCGTCTGGCAGGCTGTACTGGATGGTGTCGTTTTCCGCCCCACGGCTCCGTGGTGGGAGATCTGGTTGAAGCAGTTCATCCCTCGGCTGGTCCGCACGGCACCACTTCTACTACAGTGGTTTCACTACAGCACTACAACACACATCCAGCAGTGTTACCTGTTCATGGCGTGGGCTGTGGTCGACCCGGCGGACCTGGTAGGCGGGACAGTGATGACGTCACCAGTCAGCGACATCGTCACGCTGGACGTAACGCCCCTGATACAACTCCTCACCAGGTCTGACCTGGAGCTTCTGCTGGGTGACCCGGACAGAGTGGCCACCTGGTGTAGTCAGCAGCTGCGGCGGCCACTGGAGGAGCGGCCGGTCGGACTGACCGCCGAGCTGGACACGCCGCGGGGCCGTGCCGAGCTGCTGCTGCGGCCCGAGCTGCTGCTGCAGGCTGTCCGCGTGAACGCACCGGGTATAATGGACGTGTGGCGGGATATAGACCGGAGAAAGAAGAACGACTGGATGAGTAACTACCTACCAATGTGTTCCTACCAGGGGACCCGGGAGTGGTTGGAGCGGTTCTTGGACATCAACCTTCATAGGCAGCTCCATCACCGACTGCCAGAGATGGACGCCGCGTCTGTGGCCGCCACGGCCGGCCTCTGGCGCCGCCGGCTGCAGCAGCTGCTGTCCGGTGACCGGCTGCGAACGGCCTATGACGCCGTCACCGGCTGGTGGCCGGACCGATGGGAGATGACGCCGTACTACCTGGCGGTGGACGAGACCGACTCAGAAGGTAAGACGGAAATAGCACTGTCATTCAAATACGTGGTTTCATTTAGTACCAGTGTCATAACAGACGTGGCGGCATTACACGAGAGCGGTTTATTGAATCTCGATATGATAAGAAGGAAAACGACCAATACGACTGAGTACCATAAAATAGCATCTAGTGTTGGGTGTTATGTACCTGTATTTATCGAAATTGCATGTCCTTAAAAATTATGTTACAAGTAGCATGCTTACTTTTCAAGTAATGCTAAGGGTCATATGTCTTACTAATTATGCCTATATTTTGAAATAAATTTACGAACCTCTATATATGCCGTGCATTACATACAACGATTAAAAAAACATCTATTAACAAAATTCAATGCTCGCGTTCCCCATCTCACCAAACTCACCCACCGAAATGTCTCTCACCTGGCCCCACTGAGTGACCTCCCACCTGACCCCACTGAGTACGGTGTGAGTGTTACGGTCCCACCTGACGCCACTGACAGACCCTGTCCCCACCCACAGCTGACCCCGCTGACCGTGACCACTCACACCGCACCCATCCGTCTGACCTTGCTCTGACCAGATCTTGTCCTTCTTTCCAATCGTAGAGGTGTCGTTGCTTACTGTTGTATCGAACGACCACCAAGTTTTTAATTTCACCTGACCTACTGTGTTCCAGACTCGGATGACGACGACGGAGAGGCCGGTGGCGAGGAGCGGCGCGGCCCAGACGAGGAGCAGACAGTGGAGGGTCTGCCTCGCCCTCAGCGAGAGAAATGGCAGCAGCTGGAGCGACAGCACCAGCAGCTGTTTCAGGAGCTGGACCGGCGGGGCTACAAGAAGAAGAAGAGTCTGAACCAGCGGCATGATGAGGAGTGCCGGAGTCTGGAGCGACGTCATGACAAAAAGTGGCGGAGCATGGAAGAGCGGCACCATGACGAGCTGAAGAGGCTCCACCAACGACACGAGAGTGCTACCAGGTGCGTGGAGCTTCAGAACCCGGGGCAGGCGCAGCAGGAAAGACGTCAGAGGCATTTGGAGCTTCTAAATAGGAGAAAGCGAAGAAAGTCGGAAGAGCTGGAGCGACAGCACCAGATAGAGTGGGGAGACCTGGCGCAGAAGGTCCAGAGGCAGTGGAACAAGATGAAGCGGAGACACCAAAGCGAGTCACAAGAGCTGAAGGAGAGGTACCCGAACATCTGGACAGGGGAGGAGTTGGACCGGCTGCTGGAGGAGTGCAGCAGGAGGCGTCAGCAGTTGGGGAAGGAGCTGGGGAAGGAACTGGAGTTGGAGCTGGAGTTTAAGGAGGAACCCAGGAAGAGACAGGAGAAGGACCTGGAACTGGAAGAGGAGGAGGAAGAGTCATTGGTGCGAGGTAAGATTTAAGATTCAGGGGTAAACAAAATTGTGTTGTATTTTTATATTAGAAGAACGACCGGATAAAACTCAAAAACTAACAAAAACACTAGCAAAAGGATAAGTCAGTCACAAAAGAGTTGATAAGAACGCTCGTCCAACAACGTGTTCACGTTATAAGCATTAATATTCGACTCATTTCGCGATTGCGGCAATGTCAATCTTCCTGTATCTTGTTAGTTAAAAAGATATGTTAACAGTAAAAGTACATACAACGTAAATAAGGAAAGCATATAGCGCCATCCTATAGCCAAGTTATCATTTAACCCGCGACCGCCTGGGGGGGGGGGGTCGGATCCGACCCCCATCCGTTTTTCTTGAATAACTTATTAACCGCTTACGCTATCGACTTGAAACTTGGCATACCTTCTCCCCCATCAATTTGACGTCTCCTGTGCAATTTTGAAGAAAAAAAAATTCCAAAAAGTTTTGAGATATATTGATTTTAGTGATGTAACTACATGGCGTTTTCAGTCAAAAAGTGGTTAATGTTTAAAAAATCGCCAAAAATCAAGGTTTAAAGCAAATTGCAAATTAAGGACATGAATAGATGCAGATCAACAAGTTCTTTAAAATGGCTATCTCGGATTTTCCATAAAATGCGTTTTTCACCCCTAAAAATTCAAAAAACTATATTTTTTGGAAAACAGCTCATAAAATCCAAAATTTTGAGAATTTCCAAAAAACCGGAATATATGTTATAGAGCTCTATTAGAACATTAGATGTCCCAAATTTCAACTTTCTACCTTGATTTTTGACCCCCAAATTGTAAAAAATAGCTCCAACATGCATAGGGCATGGTGACGTCATAAGCATTTTCGTGAATTAGAGGCACTTCTGAACATCGCATGTGAAAACAGATGGCACCACTAGATTCCTGGGACAAAGCTCGTCTAGAAAAGTGCATTTTTATGTTAAAAATAAAAAGTTCAAAAATTGACCTTTTTTGGGCCCTCTCTTAGTTATGTATGGTATAAACGATTTTTTTTTATGCTTTCAATGCACACTTATCACCAAGCACAGTGACTTGGGGTCACATATAACCACTACCATTGGATTCGGCGTGAAAAATAAGCCATAAAACATGTGTCGCACGCCCATGTAGCAGAAAGTGAAAACCGTGACCTTTCGTGACCTGACCTGACCTTGAACCGTACTTAGTATGACCCCTATACGCACATGGTACCTTCACTAGGTCTTTGAGGTCATTTTTGGTGAGTTTCGAGCAGCAGCTGTCGATTCCGCTGTCCGTAAGCCTAATCATGCAAAACCCCAGAATTTGACCTTTGACCTGACCTTGACCCGAAAGTTGACCTCAATCTTAAAATCTTAAGAGTGCTTTGGGAAGGTCTCGTAGAGACCTTTCGAACGCCGCCTCGCGGGGCTCGATACGACCATTGGTTCTCGAGATAACAGGGGGGGGTCGGATCCGACCCCCCCAGGCTGTCGTGGGTACGGAAATAGCCCAGGCGGTGCCGGGTTAAACGTACATCGATAGGATGTATACCGTGTTACATACCGCGTTCCATGGTAATCTTAACTCAGTAAAACATGTTACTTTTAAACATATCATCAGAATTGATTGATCATTCCGACATGTCCTGCCCGAAGTGGTAGAGATCCTATCGTAGCTGACAAATTGACGGGAGTTTCAATTATTTCTGCATCTAAAAGCAAAATACGCATCTATACACCAATCCTATACAATCAGGGTCGGTGTAAACAGTACATCATGCCCTTCTGATTCCAGACCCCAAGAACCATGAGAGGCAACAGAAACAGCAACAACATGGCCAACGACAACAGCAGCAACAACAACAACATCAAGAAGAAGAACAACGTCAGAGGCGGCAGCCGAGCCGGAACGTTGAACATCTCAGGAACCTAATAGAGGTCACCCGAAGACACCGCCAGCAGCGTATCCAGCTTCAGGAGCGGCATAACCAGGAGCTGGAGGAGCAGAGCAGACGTCACCGGCAGGAGAGGAAGGATCTGGAGCGGCGCCTCGGCTGTCGGCGGGACAGCCAGGAGCGGCGCCACAGAAAGTGACCGACGTGAGTTCATTTAAGACCTTGACCTTCATTTCATGTCTTCATGGTTATGTTATGACCTTGACCTGAGGTCAATCTTTCTTAACAAAATGGATGAAAATGATTTTTCTGTTTTCCCAATAAAATTCATGCTGGGCGCAGCCTTGGAAGATAAAAACACCATATATTTTTCATGCTCCTTAGGTCTGTTCAGGCTGATATTTGCCATATCCAATCCTACTCTGTTTGTGTTTCAGGATGTCAGCAGAGTCGCGGACCACCCCGAGGAGGCGCCACTACGGAGAACAAGTCGAGGGTCAGACATTTGTGGTGTCAATTAAGTTCAAAATGTGTCGACTGTGTAAATATTGGAAATAGAAAATACATTGAATAATATTGTATATCATCACCGTTCCATGGAACACAGGAAACAAATATATACATAGGTGAGTGTTGGTATCAGTATGTACAAAATGGCGATGTTCACGATGTTCATAACGTGTAAATAATTGTACATTGGATGTGTTACAGGGTGACGTATGTTGTTATACAAGTACAAATTGTTGTTCGATGATGTCATTTATTGAAATGGGCTCAGTGAACACTCACTGTTGTTTATGATACTGATGTCCGTGAACACTCACTTTTTATGATACATGTCTTGTGTAATATGCATTCTTGTAAAAACTATGTAGACATTAGGAGGTGTACCGATCGGTACATACATACGAATCTGTACCGAATTATTACATGGTAACCGTTGGATGTGGTGGCCACTGGATGAAGTGTCAATATAATATTAGCCAGCCACGACCCAGCTAACTGCGAAGGAAGACCGGGCCGGCCGGGCTCCAATGATAGCGCTGGTCTGCACCGCCACGTCAACCGCAGGAAGGGTGACGACAACTGCGGCCGACTGGCCAGGAAGGACGTCAGATAGGCGGGCTGGCACCGCCGTCTCCCCTAGCTGCAGGCAGGCCATGGTGCGGTTGGCGTGGCGTCGGTTAGGGAAGGGGGTCTGGGGACGGGGCAGCAATCTGGAAAATACAGTCCAAGATGGAGCTGACGCGACTTTCCCGGGTCGGGTCACAAGGGACTGGTGACGAACGGGTCCTAGTTTAGGTTATGAAGATTTGGAAAGTTACAACAGACCCGGTTCAGTAATCTGAAGGCGACCTCTGCACGTGCAGCAGCACCCCAACCGTGACACACGGGAATGTAGCGTCTTGTGGGTGTCCGTACCTACACGCCAATTTTAGTGCAATCAGCCCAGTAAACACCGATATATTGCAATTGTTACCAAACCAACAGCTCATCGTTTTGCACGTGGCACGTGTAAAACGATGTAAGTAAAAGCGTCCCCACGGCCGGCCTGTCGCTGATGCTCAGAAATTTTCCATGAGAGTTTGCTCGCTTCGCTCGGTCGTAACAAAATATTTATTTACGTCCGGAGCATTTATTATAGGTACATATATGAATATAACGAAATTAATTTTTATAAATCGTTATTCCTATTGTTGTTGAGAAAAGTACGCTACTCCACTTCATTAAGGCATCTAACACCAACCATAGCATCGTCGTGAATCTTTAATAAAGACACTTCCCCTCCGACCTTCTCACGACTTTACTGCCACGGCAGCCAGCACGGCTCAAAACGGCACCGTCCCCGTTGGAAATCTATTGGCGACCTCAGTAACCCGAAAACGCTCCGAAAGAAAAACAAATGGACCGGCGACCACAGGAAATCAGAGGAGGTCGCGGAATCAAAGCGCGAGGACACCACGCCTGCCGCCGGTGTTACATCTCTGTCCAGCGGTCTCTCTGAAGAGCTGCAGTGTCCCATCTGTGTGGAGATGTTCCACAGGCCCATTGGTCTCGGGTGTGGCCACACGTTCTGTGAGGGGTGTCCCAGGCGCGGAGGAGCGGTGGGGACAAGGGTCCCCATGTCAGTAGGACGACCATCGAGTCGGCCATTCGCTCTGTGACGCTCGATAATAGCCGTTTTCAGGACGTAAACTGGTACACATTTGGTGCATGTAGATTAAACTGCCGTGCCATCTGTTCACGGCTTCTGTTAGCTACTGCAGCCGAAATGCGCCGAATTCCACACCTACACCATTCGGTGGTTCTGGCACGTCGGGGCCACCCCACGAGTAGTAACCGCGATCATCGGTCACATACGGGAACAGGGGCGAGGGGGCATCAGATCGCGCATCACCGCTCGCCCTTAGCCGGCCATTTCTCCCTGCCTCAACACCGTTGACTGTTTCTGTGGGGTCACGTGAGTGACATGGTGTACAGGAGAACCCCAAACGACTTCAAAGCTATTGACGAGTGCAGTGGAAGGTGTTCCAGTTCTCCAAGCACGTCCCGAAAGCAGGGGACAATGTCATGTTTCGGGCTGAGTCATGCACTACCCGAAAAACCCGTTGTCAGGAGAATGTGATCAGTGAAGAGGAAGTAGGACACAACTCTGGTGTCATCTTCAGGAGTAGCGAACAGGCAGAGAGAGAGAGAGAGAGAGAGAGAGAGAGAGAGAGAGAGAGAGAGAGAGAGAGAGAGAGAGATAGAGAGAGAGAGAGAGGGAGAGAGAGAGAGAGAGAGAGAGAGAGAGAGAGAGAGAGAGAGAGAGAGAGAGAGAGAGAGAGAGAGAGAGAGAGAGAGAGAGAGAGTGAGAGAGAGAGATTTTTTTCAAGTGTTGTGTGCAGTCTGCAATCAGACATAAAATAGGACGGGCAAAACGGTACACGTAGAGCTACGATGTTACTCATGAGTGTATGTGTTATAGGCAAATACATATCAAATTTATATAAGTGCAACTCCGAGGAATGATTGAACCAACAAGCAATGTTGTTAAAATTCAGCGAACGTCAACTCTTGATATTCAATGTTCATTACATGAGAAAAGCTCTTAGGTTACAATGTACTGTACTATTAAGTTACAATTTCCCAATGATTGTATTTATTTGTATCTAATGATGATATTCATTTTATTTCTCTCTCCCTTTCTCACGCCCACAATCTCCCTCTCTCTCTCTCTCTCTCTCTCTCTCTCTCTCTCTCTCTCTCTCTCTCTCTCTCTCTCTCTCTCTCTCTCTCTCTATCTCTCTCTCTCTCTCTCTCTCTCTCTCTCTCTCTCTCCCTCTCTCTCTCTCTCTCTCTCTCTCTCTCCCTCTCCCTCTCTCTACTTCAAAAGACGCCTTATATGGTGAAAAACATGAGACGTCGACAGGATACCCGCCGGGCTCCACTGATAGCGCTGGTCTGTACCGCCGCGTCAACCACAGGAAGGGTGACCTAAACTGAAGCCGACTGGCCAGGAAGGCCGTCAGATAGTCGGGCTAACACCGCCGTCTACCCTAGCCGCAGAGCAGAGGAAGGCCGTCAGATAGACGGGCTGGCACCGCCGTCTCCACTAGCCGCAGCTGTGGACGCGCGGCTCAGGGGAAGGGAAGGGGAGGGGACGCTAAAGAAATCCATGCATGCTTATTGCATTATATGTTAGAGACAAGGTGTGGAATCGGGCATTCTATATAATACCTAGACATTCTGTAAAATGTCTCACCGACCAGCATGGACGTCGAAAGCGGGGGACGGGGGGGGGGCAGCCGAGGAGCCCGGGGACGTCCTCTCCAAAAAAAATCCCCCATGCATGCTTTAAGAGTGACTATATGCAATAGTCATTCACAATGCATTAAATGGAAATTGTAAATAGAGCTAGACTTAAAAGATACTGATGCTAGTCAGTTCGACCGTACACATATAAGGCCTCATATATTGTATCATCAGCTTGCGAAGTTCGGACCGGTCACAGATCGGTAGACAAGGGTGACGCCACAGGGGATGGGACGGAGGGATTTCCTCTCCCAGTTCACGGGGTAGAGGGATATCCCCTCCGGTTTTGTTTATTGCTATCGGTCTCATGCCTCTACGTGCTTTTTTAATTCAAATACACAATAGGAAACTCCGTGAAATCAAAAATTCCTATACACCGACAAGCAACTTTGCCTGAATATATGACTGATATGATTAGCAGCGCTGGCGCATCAGAAAATTTGTGGCATATTCCTAGTCGCTAATAGTCTTTGTTGTTCTTTTTTCGAGGGGCGGGGTAGGCTCTTTCCGTCTAGCGAGACCATTCCAGAGCCGGATGGATGATATGAAATAGGGAGAGACATTGGTCTGGGCGGGCATCACGGTGACTCGTCGGGGCTGAGCCCATCACGAGGACAGACCAACCAGCCCCCTGACACTCACCGCTGACCGCACCCGGCCACGGGCGTGATCCTAGGGGAGCTACCCGCCCGCATGTGGGATAAAGATGCCCGTCCAGTCCGGAACAGGGGGGTGGAGGCCTGGAGGAGAAGGACAGGACTATCCCGAGGATGGAAACGACGGAACGGGCCGTTGAATGCTTGCAGAAATGCAGACGAGCAGAAGAACTAGCAACTAGCGAAAGCGAGTGTCCGTATTATCGGGTTATCGCATCCACATCTGTGACTTTACCCGCCTCATGAGACTGGCCAGCAGCCAGGGACCTTAGTTATCCCAGGAAACTGGTCAGTCGTCCCTCAATTGCAGCAGGAGACTGGTCTTTGACCTCACTTGTCCCAGAGGACTGGTCCATGACCTTACCTGTCTCGGTAGGTAAGGTTCCGCAGCCCCATCGTGTCCTTTCCGGCCTTTTCAGTGCCGACAGCGCCCTCTTAAGGCGACTCTGAGCCCAGAGGGCGCTGTGATCGACTCCGAGACCAGATCGGACCTCCCGTCACCTCCACTCCGCCGGCCGTATAGTGACGTCACACTGGAGGACTCCAGCGAACCACCGTTCCGTGCTTCTATCCTCAGGATACTGAAATCCTTCTCCTCCACGCCGCAACCCCCTTCCGGGCTGGACAGGCAACTTTATCTCATGCGGGCTGCTCCCTTGGAGCGGCACCGCTGCTCCCGAGGGAGCGCACCCCGTAGCCGGGTGCAGTGAGTGCCTTGGGGCTGGGTGGCCTGTCATCTGGACGGGCTCAGCCCCGGTGACTGTAGGGTGCCTGCCCAGACCAATGTCTCCCCCTAATTCCTATCATCCTCCCGGCTCTGAAATGGTCTCATTGGACCGAAAGAGCCTAACCCAACAAAACAAAAAACAAAAAATCCAGCGAACGGTCTGACACGCTGCGAGGCCACAAAACAGACACGTGACACTGAGACTGACACCAATACCGACCGTCAGTGGTACTGACACTGGACACGACACCAAATAGCTGACACTGACACTGACACCAACCGTAGGCACATTGAACGACAGACGACATTCAGTATCTACCTTCCCCTGACTGCCACTGACACTGAACGCCCTGCCGTCTGTACTATTCCTGTCGAAAATAATAACACCCCCTGTAGGTACTCTAATTGCTATTGTCGTCCCCATCATTGGTGATATCGTGTGACGGATATTCCGTTGAATCACGTGTTAAGCTGAAAGTCACGGTCAGACTAGCCTAGTCCCCGTGAGAGAAATACCCACGTGAATGGATTGTTTCGAGGGGTACCGTACCGGAACGAGATATTTCCCGCTCATAAAATCACCGTACGGACGGAAGTTGGGAAACTTTTATAATTTCCTCAGATCAGCAGATGTGCAGATGGATGAGAGATGGAAGGGTTAAAACGTAAGACATTAGGGTTCCTGCTAAAACATAGCTACATTTTAATCTGGCTATGAACAGAGAGCCCAATGCATTAACCCGCGCCCTGCTAGGGGGGGGGTGTGTTTGAACACCCCCCCTTGTGATTTTTCGCGAATATCTCAAAAACGGCGG